TTAAATAGCCTCTGGTTTGGAGCAGGAGCACTTGCCCTGCAAGGTGAGCTGGGAGAACTGCAACAAGGAGGCGCTGGGAGCACTGTGGGGTTTTCAGCTGATTGCATATCCAGCTCTCATCTGTCTGTGACACTGGTGTGCTATCCTGGGGAGGGAAGACACCTGGCAACAGTAAAACTCCCAGTTTGGGGAATTTTGATTACAGACTTGTTGGAATCGTACAGGTGGCTGGGGCTTCAGTTGAGGAATGCGTATTTTCTGCTGTAACAACTGCCCCAGGGAATGTCAAGCTAACCATCGCACGGGTGCTTTGTAGAGTGGAGGTTTTTGTTGTTTTTCACCACTGACGTTGCTTCAGCTCTGCATTGCATGCAGTTTTGATGCAGTTCAAACCAGCCATAGCAAGTCTTTTCAGGCTCGTGTATTAAGTAGCTGCAGGGCAAGTTTTGCAGTTTGGCCTTTATTTAAAGGGAAGTCTTTAACTCAGGCTCACAGATCTAAAGTTCTTCACCTCTCTCTCACCATACATCACCTCCCATACGTTTTCTCGGCTCCTCTGGTCGTGCAGGCGTCACCCCTCGGCCCAAAGCGCTCTCTGTGCGGGTCATCGCTGCTGTCTGGTGGCTGTTCACCATCGCCTTGCTGGCTGCCTACATTGCCAACTTCACCGCCCTGCTGAGCTCTGGCAGCGAGCAGCTCCCAATCCAGACTTTTGAAGATCTTGTGAAGCAAAGGAAGCTTGAGTTTGGGACACTGGACGGCTCCTCTACTTTCTACTACTTCAAGGTGCAGAGAATCTCATTGTGCACATACACACGTGCCATAGAACTGCTAAGCTGGGGCCAAGTGGTCTAGCTCAGGCCTAAGGGTCCTGTAATACTTCAAATAACGTGATTGGTATCTGATGTTTTGTTCATCTCTTTTTCCACCTCTTCTCGGAGAGAAAAGCATGCAGAGGACTATATTTTTATAGAGTATTCTCTTCTAAGAAGGTGATGCTAGTCCTCAGGGGTTATCCGTGTGTACCTTGAACAGGAGGACTGACGTAGGTCATTTCTGGGTACATTAACTGGACGCCTGCGAAGGTTGTTTTTGGCGGGGGGAGGGAATATTTAAGACTTATATCCCTGTAACACTGTGCATTAGAGAGGAAATCCGTGCTAACGGTATGCTGGTTTTCAGCACGGAGGGCTCAAAGGGCAATGATTTAAGTATTCATTCTCCCAATTGTTTTGCAATCATTGCACATATATGCAGATTTTTTTGGATGATTGTTTTACACTTCAGTTTGACACTTGGATTTTTGGGCTGCAGAATTCCAAGAATCCTATCCATCAGATGATCTATGAATATATGGACAAGAGACGAGACTACGTGTTAGTCAAAACCTA